AGATTACGTTATCCTGTGTGAACGGTGACGAAGATAAGAATCCTGTGACAAAAATGACTTAAACTATCGAAATTAGTTTATGGTATTTTCCGTTGTATTATTAAAGACTGGTAAAGCGCTGTAGATTTATACCATGAACTGATTTCTTGCTTTTTACACTCCAGCTTTACTCCATCACCTGCGGAGTATTATCTCAATGGATGTTTTTGTAGGTGTGGTTGAAGTATATTGTTACCTATTCTCCTACAGAGAGTAGAAAAGCCCTTCGCGTTTCTTGTATACTTGTAGTTAATTTTCGATGTTGTAAAAAACTATTTCCAATATATGTGCGGTCGTTAATGAATAAGAAAAGGCTTCGACTTGCTCCATGTAAAACTCCAGGACGATTTGTCTCCAGACTGAAAGACTAGCAATTCCCGGACTTTATACCTAACAGAAGCATTAAAATAGTTACATTTTTAAGGAGTGTAAACGAGACTGTATCTAATGTCAAACCATCAAAGGATTTTTCTTTTCTACTTGACTCGCTAAGATTCTGTTGTAAACAACACGCCAAGCGTTTTGGTCTCTTTTCGTGATCACTTGATATACGTAATGTTTGTTTCGGAGATGTACAATTCATGTCCGACAATCGTTATTCACGTGAGACACGAATTGAGCCGTAGCTCCCTACAGATTTTACATTGATTTTCAGAGGTTCGGAATGCTTTACTGTGCACAAATGACGCCTAGAATATCTAATGAAATAGTCATGCAGGCAATCTGTGTGTTTCACGTGACGTTAGCACACTTCTGAGGTGCATACTTGGGTGAAGGCCTTACTCTACTAATAAAACGTTGACATGCCAGACAGACCGAGTTTAAACGATGGGAGATAGGAGGATTGTCTGATTGAATTGCACACGATATAATATAAAGCTAAGGTTCAATACTTTTGTGTCGATTTTTATGAGGTCCATTTGAACTGTACAGATTTCTAATAATTGGGGAGAGAAAAGCACCGCTTGTAAAATTTGCTTTCGGTTGTATGGAAGGGGACTTTTTAAAGAAATGCTCACGGAAAGGCTGGAAAAAAAGTTACATATGTACAAAAACAGACCTTCTGAAACGAATGATATAGGGAAACGTCCAGTGAGTTAATTCCAAGATTTATCACACATTTATCACACAGCCAGCAGCTCTGTAAATCGTGTGATAATATTACACGTAAATATTCGGTGCTGAACTGCTTGTAAGACAGAGGATACATAGAACAGATATCAACCAACGTGGACTTTCAAATAAAGGGACAAGGAAGAAAGCATGCTTGGAGTTAATGGAATAGAATTAAAAAGATTTGAGGGTTATTTGGTTCAAGCTCCGAAATTGTAGGCTTCCTTCCCCATTTGGCTTTGTATAGGCAGAGCTGGTGGCAGTGCTGATATGAAAAGCCCATAGTGTTTAATGTCAATGAAGGGTGCTCTCTTTCCGTCAGTACCAGTTCCTGTTGAGGTACTGCATTACTTACAATGTATCTGGTCCATTAATTGATGATTAATGGATTAATTTCTAAGACGAAGTTTCCAGAATTGAAACATTGCAATGAATTTGTGAGGAAACTGTTTACTAATTCTATAATCGAACAACATTTAAAAAATAATGTTGATCACAATTCGTTGTGACTTTCCAATTAGAATGAAAATGGCCACATTTGTATTTATACCGATTTAATGTACTGTACTCAAAAAGTTAAGGATCATAAACATATGATTTTTCTGCCATTAAAATAGATTAAGTTTGACACTCCTTAACCACGGTTTTATAAGCAATGTGTACACAATAACTTTTCGGTAGCTGTGGTTTTATTGAAATTCTGCGTTGGCTTAACGTCAAATCAATTAAAAAGTTTGTGTTTCCTCTGAATGTCATTTTGCATCCTGTTTTGAACAATTGTTAGCATGAGACATCGCATGACAACTGCAGAGGCTGGCTGAGCAGTCGGGATGCTGCAAGCAGGACAATCACAGCGAACTTTGGCTTCACACTTCAATATGTGAATGAGTATCATTTCTCGATCATGGAATCGATTCCAGATGACCGGGAAACGTTACCGAGATATCTCGATTGGGTAGACCACGGCGTACGACAGCTCGTCAGGGCTGTAATGTAGACACTCTCAGTGGGCGAAATCGGTTTGCAAGCTCCTGTATGTTGAATAACGATATTCCGTCAAGCAAGTGTAAGAAAAAATTCTTCACGGTGAGAAATAGACTTCACAACTCTGGATTTCGAGCTCACAGACTCGCTGTACGCCCTCGAGCATGACCGTTTCTTTCGAAGAGGACGAGAGAGGGGGTGGGGTGGGTTGGGGGGGTTTGGAGGGCGGGGGTGGGGGGCGGTTGAAGATGGTAAGCCTCACAGGTTCAAGTACCAAGGTGAAATCCTTCATCCGATTGTAAGGCCCTTTAAGGGTTGAGCTGTTGAGCGTATGGTTTGGCACATTCTCCCACCCGACCTCAACCCAATCGAACATGTGTGGGACATATTACAGCAACGCATTACCGATCATCCGTGACATCTTGTCAACCGGCACGAGCTTGCTGATGTTTTTTTGTCAAGAATACCCATGAACTCCACGAATGGCTATACGGCGCCTGATTTGCAGCATGCCAAGCCGATGTCGTGCCGTTTTTGGTGCCAATGGAGCGCTCACTCATTTTAAATATTTAGTGTCATCGTGATTTCAACTATTTTAGAGAGTTATGGACTTTTTATGTACTCATACACGACACGCTTGAATGAAATTGATTCAAAGTGAGTCAGAATTATTATCAACCAGTATATTCTGTAGCGATAGACACCGTGTATCGTAATCTTTTCATCAGTGAAGTCCGATGTATTTTTCTGTGTTCTTACTCATGTTTTCAGTGTTGTATTGTATTGCGTGTTATGTTTCATATAATTCTAATATTATTTGTCTGTGGAAGACAGTTCATAACCGCATTTATTTAACCCGTTTATTATCCATCGTTTTAATTTATAGTATGCTTGAGGGCAGTATGTAGCTACATTATGTTTAGCTACATGGATGACGTCAGTGACTAGACAAGCTATTTGATGTCTATAAATCTGCTCCACGTAATTGAACCTCCGGACGTGTTGCCTTGATCACTGGATTACCTTAGTAACAAAACACTACAGACCAAATTAACGTCGTCTGTCAGTGACTGGAATCAGTTGATTAAGGGAATGTTTCAAGGTTCCATTATTCGGTCATATTTATTCAATAGCTTTTCTTACTTATAGCTCTCCATACCGGGATCTAGATGTTCCGGAACCATGGATCCAATCTCCTAGAAGGTTAATTTTTCCCGTCGTATCTAATAACGTAATAATCATATTGTGTTTGGAAAGTCGTCCAGATCAGACCAAATAAGGTGAGTCTGGTCTTAATGCGAACATTACGTCGTCTGATCAGAAGACATTATATGACAAAACACCAGGTTATATCAGCTTTGAAACTACAAGATTCTGTTATTAGACCAGTTTTATTTACAGTTTTATATACAATCCTTCTTAATTACAGCGTCACTAATCAAACAGGAACATAAGATACACTATATAGTGACAAGAAAACATCTTACAGTCGTCAACGATATCCGATTCTCTATATGATATGCAACATTTATTTATTTATTTATTTATTTATTTGGTTTAAATTTGATCGTTTAAGATATTTTTTATGGAGTATCGTCTCAAACGACAGCAGATATTGCTTAAACGTTTCTTATAAGCTACACTGTTGAAGAAAAGGAATCGCTTTCATGAAACCCAAACAAGCCTTAATGTAAAATGGGATTTTAGATGTTGTTTACATTCTTTTGGGAGACAATAGACAACTCATTAAAACATATGTTATGATCAATCTAAGGCAGCCTCAAGATTATCAAATTTCAAATACCAGATATTTCACTTTAATTTGTACTATGGTGTATTCATTACGAGGTACGAAATGATATGAGAGATCTGATTCTAAATTAGACAACAATATTGTGTACAAGGTTTATTCTTTCTATTACCTTTGTGCTCTTATTTCAGATCGGGAAGGTTACATGATGTGTCAACCCAGTGCTCGTGTAAATTAGGAAGTTTCCAAGCTGAAAGCGAATTTTTGTGTTATTCTGTAATGATTTAATATTTTTTAGATTTTCTTCTCTCTATACAAGGCAGACAAGTTGAAAACATATAACTTCCTGGCCCTGGGCTTGAGCTATATCAAAATGGTCCTGTTATTGATATCTCAAGCATTGATGGCCGCGCTATCAATGTTAGGCTATATCTGCATGAAAAACTCGATTACACTTACTGGAAAACATCCAGAATCTTTGACATTCGAAGCAAATTGATAAATTTTGTTTCTTAGGATATTCTTATACACTGAATTTAACAGTAGGCCTCTGGCTCGACCAAAAAGAAATATGACGGTAAAATCAGAGGTGTATATGTTATAAATGCGTCTCTGGTAAAATACAGTCACAATGGCTGACCATATGCTGTATTAAGTCATTGTATTCGTACATGTTAGGGTTCTTAGGCCAATTTCATAAACTTAGGATCAGTTTCTTTACATAATACATGTACTTGGTAAAACTAAAATAGAAAATTTGTTCTTTTATAAATCTATTTTACTTTTCTCATTCGCCTCTTAGATTTCAAAATTTAGACCCATGGTTGGCAACACTGTTCAGAAGGACGAGGCAGCTGTATAATGCAGTTCATTCCTTATTGAACTCTTCTAAAAAGAAATTTGTATTGAATTAGGAACACTTGCGTGTCTTTTGTGCAATCTTGTTAACATCCTCTATCGAAATACCATTTTTGCACTAGTGTACATGTAAGCGATCGTGTTCTGTACCATGTGCTGATTAATTTTATAGTGTAAATTTTCAGAATTCATTTCTTTGCTAAAATGTTTCTCAATTTGTATAAGAGTTATTCCCCCTACACCACACACTTCGCGCATGACTTACGCCGGCTGTGTATCACGGAACATGATTCGCAGACTGTCATATCTTGTTTCCGCTGGAGTGAGTGTATTGATTAATGTTTACAACTACAGTCCTGTTGCACGATTTAGACCTATTTTGAGTTCATACCCGGATATAGGTGTTATCGCTGTCACATACTGGAACTTAGCAGGGAACAGCAACATGGAACTGAAGGGGCGCGTGATTGTGTATTCAATTTTGGGATGCCCTCACTGTATGAGAGCGAAGAATACCTTACAGGAGAAAGGTGTTCCGTATACTGACATTAGTTTGGAGACCTACCCGCAATGTCGGGAGGAAGTGAAAGCACGCACTGGCAGACACACCGTTCCTCAAGTGTTCTTCAACGCTAAACATATCGGGGGAAATGATGATCTGCAGGCACTAGTATGTTTTGTTTACCTGTGTAATTAGCATGTTTAGTAAGCAAGTACAATGTATGCTCCATTGACTGATTGATATTGTTAGATTCACCGGACCGTGTACACAGGAAGATAATTTATGCCAGAACTTCAGCAAAATAGAAATCCACAGCCTGGTATGGGGTGTGGTCTGAGAGATTACAGAACGTGGCAGACAGTTTTACATGTATAAACAGTGATGGAATAGTGATTGGGATGCATACATGTAGATAATGCAGGACTAAGGTTTGCCTCAGTGGTCTGGGGATAGGGACAACCCCAGTGGATAAGGGAATAGAGACAGCAATTTTAATTCCATGTTACTCAATTACCAAACGTATATGTTCCCAGCAGCCCTAAACTGGCTTAACTTAAGCTATAAATGTCACTGTCTTCCATTTATGTGTCAGTTGATTTTGATTATGACGTGATTCAGTTTGATCGTGACCATATATCCACCTGCTGTCCAATATGTAACCCTGGAAAAATACTAGCCGCAATATACAACTCGGCAAGAGAGAACTTTTCTTTAGCTTGACTGTATGAGCGCAGGTTTAGCGTCAAACTAGTAAGCAAGGGGTCCCAGGTTCGATTCCTAGCAAAGGCATCAAAATAAATAATTACTTCTGTTACTTTGGCGCCTATGTAGGGACCCGGGAATAGTACTTAGCCATGCCCTAACAGCATCACTGTAACCACTGGTAATTTGAAGATGAGTTATTTCCTGGAGGGGGGGTATGTAACCCTGGAAAAATACTAGCTGCAAAATACCGCTCAGCTATGGAGAACTTCTCTTTATCTCAATCGTTTTGACGTCAGACTAGTAACCCAGGGGTTCCGGGTTTGATTCCAAGCGAAGGCATCGAAATGAATAATGACCTCTGTTACATATACATATGATTACTTATGAGTAGATAGAATAGGGACACTGGAGATCTATATCAGGAAGGGAAACCATTGAACTGTATCAGGGAGGGACACTGGAGATCTATATCAGGAAGGGAAACCATTGAACTGTATCAGGGAGGGACACTGGAGATCTATATCAGGAAGGGAAACCATTGAACTGTATCAGGGAGGGACACTAGAGATGCTTTTTCAGTAAATATTGTATCAGGGATGGACACTTGAGATGTCACTACAGATATTGTATCAGGGATGGAGATCTATACCTGGAAGGGAAGCCATAGAACTGTATCAGTGAAGAACATTGTAGATATTGTATCAGGATCGGACATGATATATATATATACAATTGTACTCAATCATTTAGGGAAATTACATTAGTACTGTAGACTCTATATCAGGGAAGGACACTATGGATACAGTATCCACGAGGAACACTGTAAATATTGTATCAGGGAAGATCACTGCACTCAATCAGGGAGGAAAGCTATCAGTTAGGTATATTGTGGATACAGGTAGTGTATCAGGGACACTAGTTACTAGTGCATCAGGGAGGGACACCATAGACCTGTATCAGGGAGGGGCACCATAGACCTGTATCAGGGAGGGGCACCATAGACCTGTATCAGGGAGGGACACCATAGACCTGTATCAGGGAGGGACACCATAGATCTGTATCAGGGAGGGACACCATAGATCTGTATCAGGGAGGGACATTATAGATCTGTATCAGGGAGGGGCACCATAGACCTGTATCAGGGAGGGGCACCATAGACCTGTATCAGGGAGGGACATTATAGATCTGTATCAGGGAGGGGCACCATAGACCTGTATCAGGGAGGGGCACCATAGACCTGTATCAGGGAGGGACATTATAGATCTGTATCAGGGAGGGACACTAGGTATTGTTTCAGGGAGGGACACCATAGAACTGTATCAGGGAGGGGCACCATAGACCTGTATCAGGGAGGGGCACCATAGACCTGTATCAGGGAGGGACATTATAGATCTGTATCAGGGAGGGGCACCATAGACCTGTATCAGGGAGGGGCACCATAGACCTGTATCAGGGAGGGACATTATAGATCTGTATCAGGGAGGGACACTAGGTATTGTTTCAGGGAGGGATATTATAGATCTGTATCAGGGACACTAGGTATTGTTTCAGAGAGGGACACCATAGATCTGTATCAGGGAGGGACACCATAGATCTGTATCAGAGAGGGACACCATAGATCTGTATCAGAGAGGGACACCATAGATCTGTTTCAGAGAGGGACATTATAGATCTGTATCAGGGAGGGACACCATAGATCTGTATCAGGGACACTAGGTATTGTTTCAGAGAGGGACATTATAGATCTGTATCAGGGAGGGACACCATAGATCTGTATCAGGGACACTAGGTAGGAGGTACATTTTATTTGACTTAAATGGCTACATGATCATAGGGTTTCTTCTTCCCCAAATCATTGTGGTACTGAGTGTCACTTTTAGAGTGTTTCTTTGGTCTAATGTAGAAAAAACAAAGAACATGTTACACAACTATGAATTCATAAATTTACACAAGATTAATATGTAAGTTTGTTCTGTGTAAAGTGAGATTTAATGCATGAAAATCTACAGCAGCTGACAGTTATCTTTCAATCAAAAATGTCTCATTTTATGGCCTATGTTAAATTTCCAAATTTACCAAATTAAACATTATGAAATTTTAAAGTTAAAAATTGAATTCTCCTAATCAGAAATGAATGATATCATGAGAATTTTGTTTGTAAAGGTGAATGACAAGAGCCAGTGGGAGGCAAGCATTGAAGAACTGAAGACCACAGCACCAGGGAGTGATGCCCCTCAGATACCAGACCCCAGTACAGCCATCAAAGACTCCGGTACTATTACCACCTACTTCATAACTGTTTTAACAAAAAACAAAAAGAACAAAAATACAAAGACACAATTCAAAACAAAGAAAATAGATTCTACCCATTAAATCAATCATATTTGGATTAGGTAGGCCAGTTACAGTAAATGTTTTTATAATTTTCATCACGTGCATTTTTATTGTATACATGATTGTATTAAGTGCAATATAAGTAATTTATGGAGAGTGAGAACCCAGTTTAATGAATTGCCTGTTTCAGATGCTGGCGAGTTTGTATGTGAACCAGATGAATATGCCAAGCTGGTGGAGGACCTGAAGACCAGTGGTCTTATCAAAGATCACTCCCGCATACTCACTACCTATAAACGGTCCTTTGTTGGTCGCGAGTTTGTGGACTGGGTGGTCAAAACAAAGGGGCTTGGTAAGATCATTTTTACTCTTTCTGACATGGAAATTATCTGTACAATATGGAAACTGGTATCATTCAAAATGGTATAGGTTCTTAGATCTCTTGGTCCCTTAACTTACATAAAACTTACATAATTATACTGCAATGAATTAGTATATACTTACACAATACTTTTTACTCAAAGTCAGAATATGGGTTTATTATGGGACATGATAAAATCAGATTTGTTGATAATTTTATGAAAGAGTGGGTGGGCTTATTACCAAGCATGGGCTTATTGTTGGATATATATGTAGAGTCAATCAAGCACTCATTTAGGGCTGACTTTTTACATTTCTTCAAAACTTGGATACGTATACAGACCTGCAGAACTGACTTTTGTTACCATGTAGGATCAGGCAACTGTATATATGTTTCTCTAAAATTGGCTGTTCACCCAGGATACAAATTTCTGAACTCAACTTGTGTGTTGGACCAGCAGTGAAGCACAGATACATGTAGCTATTGCGACCAGTGACCATCTTGTATTTTGACAGTTTGTTTTCACTATTTCCTGTCAACCTATGTTACTTCCATTCATGCATTTTCACCCAGAGAAAATAAGTGGATTAAAGAGAAAAGAAAGGAAATTATCAAACTAATGAAGAGTTAATAGAGATCATGAGATGATGGGCAATGATATCCCTGTGGACTCCTTGTTTCCAGAGCAGAGTGATGAGATGTCTCAGGCCCTGTTTTTATACACTTACCTATGGAGAATGGTCTGGCTCTGTTTATATATGTTTGTGTCCAGAATGGAGTGCAGTTATATTAAAATGGGTTAGGCCCTGTTTACAAATATAATGTATGTATATTTGTATTTCCAGAAAAGAATATAGCTTATGAAGAATGGTGAGGCACTGTTTATGTATATTTGTATATATTTCCAGCTCAGAGTGCAGTGTATATTTTTGTACATGTGTGTATTTCCAGAGCGGAGTACAGCAGTTGAGATGGGGCAAAATCTGATTGACAAACACTTTGGCCACAATGTGAAGAGTACTAGTGATGAAGTGTTCCAGGACTCTCCTGACAAGTATTACAGATTGTTGGAGGACGATGAGTCCTCCGCCCTCAACGCAGGCGAAATGTCGCAGTGCGAGCCCAGACCTGGTGTGTATATGTATTCATATCATTTCTGATATTTTCTAAGACAGATGATGTAATCTTTAGTTAGACAGGTTCGTGCAAACTGGAAACTGGAACGGTTGATCTTAATTTGAAGTCTTCTTAGTTCAGTGAGACAGCCTTGGCTTAGTATAGTGTATCAGTTTATTTTGCTGAGTTTTTATAACATCACATGAAGGTAATATGACAAACAACAGCTATCAGACAAGGTGACTGCAATTATCCTTTTAGGAGGGAAACAAAAACACAGTTAAAACAAATTCTCTGCATATTATCGGTTCAGTTTTAATGATAATAGATTAGCTGTAAACTTCATCAGGAATCTAGGGGTGAGGTAGATGATGAAATAACATTTATATCAAATTAATTTGTGAATATATGTAAAGGTTGTGTCCAGTAAGGATATTACAAAAAATAGTGCACTGTACAAAGAAGGCTAGCTTTTATTAACAGTTTCTTATCTTTTCAAACTATGAAAAGCTGACGAACTTGGAGAAGAAATCAGAAAACTCATCTTGAAGATATACAACGCTTTTTTGTCTGCTGATGGAAAGGTAGATTAATCTTCTCAACATCTCAACATCGTGCCAAGAAAAAGAAGATTACTTTTTCATAATTACAGTTGTGGTAACAAAAATTGTTCAGAAACAGTTTTATGTTATTGTAACTCTGTAATGGTACAGGTCAGGCACATAGCCACGTCTAGTGTTTAACAGGGTCTAGAGTTAAAGATTCTTTGTTGATTATGTGTGTTCAGCACCCTAGATTGTTACAGCATAGTCCAAATATTGTACTCTTTTCTTCATCTCATTTAAGCAAAAGTACAGAAGTATTTTATACTATACTTTCTAACATTTACAAAACAAAATTTCACTTCCAGCAATAATGATTTTCTTACTTTCCTTAATATCAGAAAGTGAACTACAAAGGCATAGCTGGAAGTACAGAGTTTGAGAAATACAAAAGATTGACTAAGGAGCTCCATCGTGTCCGAATCTCAGAGGCAACTCGAGAGGAGAAGTTGTCTTTCTTCATTAACATATACAATGCGCTCGTTATCCATGCCAATGTGCATGTTGGCCCTGCAACAAACCTATGGCAGAGGTACAAGGTACGATATACATAAATAGATTCCAAAGAAAATTCCTGCGATGACTGTTGGTGAATCCTCTTGGTTTGATAAGAAAAGCAAAGAAAGATTAAGTCAAAACCATGTAATTTCTACCATTGTCTGTAATCGGTTTTGAAATCACAAGAAAAATCCATTTAAAAAAAACTTTCTAAACGAAAAACAGAATGTAAGCTTTAAAAGGAACAAAAATGATTGTTTAAAAAACTCTCCCTTAGCAAAATCAATGGCATTGAAATACCATTGTCACCATGCTCCACTGAAATACAGTTGTTTGGCTAAAGGGCTGTATTTGCATATCTGCAGTTTTATACCTCTCAAAACCTGGAATCATAACCATGCATTGAAAACCATTGAAAATTCCTTATTTGAGGATTGATAAACCATTGTTTGACCATTGAAATGGGCCAAAATATTTCCAGTTAGGTACCTTGTTAACATACTATTACATCTCAATGGTTTTCAATGGTGAATCAATAGAATATTATGAGATAAGACAATAGTGTACCAATGCTATATCACCTATCTTAAATGTGTATTACCCATAGTGATGGCAGTTTAACTGATCTTTCTTCAGACTCCATGCAAGTTCATACATTTAAATGCCATACATTCAGAGATCATTGATTTTGAAAATTGTGTTTCAATGCCAATATGACATTTGAAATATTGTGAATTAAATGGTATTCATTTGATTTCTGAGAACAACTGGGATTTCTCTAGCATTTAATTTATATTTAAATGTTTCTGGACCTTTTCTTTAAGCTAAGGAGTCAACAGATCTTGCTCCATCTAGCAGAACTTATTTTTGTGTACGGTATAAGAGTGATCTTGGAATATTTTACAACATGGTCTTGAAACCATTGTCAGTAAATATGTGTCTTCCCCTTATTTAAGGCTTGAAAAATATCAGTGTTTCTTTGAAGGTATATTTCTGCATGAATGTTGCAGTATCTGTGTATTTTTCTTGCTTGACTGGATTGCTGCTTTATTGAGATCTGTATGTATGTACGAAATATCTTATTCTCTGTTCCAGTTTTTCAACACAATAAGATATATAATTGGTGGAGAATCATACTCTCTCCAAGACATTGAGAATGGTGTGCTGCGAGCCAACAGGAAGGGTGTTGGTAAGTCAAAGGGAGATAACTTGTCTATAAAATCCCCTACCTCAGAAACTTATGCAACTTACATAAACAATGAGGAGATGGATTAAATTTTGTTCATGTATTTTGATTAAGTAACACAATGCTGTGTTAGTAATTTGAAATGCAAGTTTATTTTTTTGTATGATCATTTTTTGTTTGTTTTTGTGGCAGTTCAATGCTTATTAGTGTAAAGAATCTTAATAGAATTGCACTTTTGGGGCTGAATCAATGAAAGGTCTCAAAAGAGTAAAATGACCCTAGGTATTTATTTTGACAGTTCTGATTTTGAATTCTTGGTGATAAATGTCAATTGTTAAAAAATTCATGGAAAGAAAAAAATAAATGAAGTCACACCATTATTTTGTAACGTTAAAGTTTTGAAATTAGAAATCACTCTAATTTGCATTGTTTGTAATTTAGAAATATAAGTTGAATTGCATTAGGATCTGTTTGCAAAATTATGTTGAAGAAAAATGTATGTAAGATCTGTAAAAGCTGCTGAAAATGATGTTTTTTTTTTTAATCATTCATTTTATATATTATTAACATTTATACGAGATAAATATTTGCTGATATATCTTCAATTTGTTTTTCACAGGTATGTTCACTAGACCATTTTCTCAGTCAGATCCTCGCTTTAAAGTGGCTTTAGAGAAACACGAGCCACTCATACACTTTGCTCTTGTGTGTGGAGCTAAGAGTTGTCCGCCCATTAAAACATACTCCTCCAATGTGAGTTATTGTCGACTAGCCCTTGTTAATTCAAGTTTCTTTCAATGCAATAAATGTTAATTCAAATGGAGTTATGATCCTGTTTTTATTTTTCTAAACATGCATAGATTAATATATTTAAAAATTTGAATGAATAATTATTCTTTTATTTAATTTTCCTTCTTTCGTTGTCTACATACAAATTTCTTGGTGCAGCCAAATCAGTGTTCTCACAATTGATTTGATAACATCTAAGCAAAATAAAGTATAGGAGGGCAGATTGTAATGGATGTTTAAAGCTTTTGTCACGAAAGTCTATTTTGAAGTATAAAAGAAGGTGATTAGCCCCATTTCCTGAAGCCATGTTTTTTAAAGTTGTAAAACTGTCACATATCTTCTTTTGCTATTAGCTGATTGCCCTCACACAAACATAAAAGCAGTTTTATTGCTAATATTATCTTGCAGCATCAGAGGAATTTTACCATGGAATTTAAGCCTTAATATCTGTGTTATTGATATAGGGTATAAATGAACAACTAACGCTGGCTGCTGAGGCTTTCCTAGACGGTGGTGATGGCTGTCAGATTGATATGAACAAACGACAAGTCAGACTTTCTAAGATATTAAAGTGGTACCAGGAAGACTTTGGCAAAAACAAAGAGGAGGTAAGTCGTATTTTTATTTTCTAAAATTCTGTTACATATTATGTACATTGGCCCCTTAATAATCTGGACAACTTTGTCCCTGCAAAACATCATCAGTTATACTGGTGTCCCACACTGCCGAGTTCAGACGTTTCCCTGGATTTTAGAAAGATAAAAACATCTGTATGATATTGGTTGTTTACAGAAAGTCTGTGTAGTAGTTTATGTATTGACTGTGTTTACAGGTATTCATAGATATGTCTTTCATAGTCTGATTATGTTCATTTTCATAAATATTGTATGTGTACTGAAATCATGTTTGCTGTTACAGAATTTCTTGTCAATTAATTGTTTATTTAGACCCATGAAAACACAAAATACCTGACCATTGCTGAAACATTACTATAAAAAGCCAATTCTGTAAGCGTAAAGTATTTCTGGAGCCATAGTTCAAACTACTGGACTAATGAGTACAATTATTACGTAAATCCATTTCCTTTACATTTCCCTCTGAATTGAGACTTGTCTGTATTACTTATATCAACATCCAGATTATCACAGGGCCAATGTATATTGATGAATATTTGTGGTAAGTTTGATTGAATGTATAGCTATATGAACTCATTACTAGATTTGTCTTGTGATAAGCCCATGCCTCATAATCTGCTAGCCCACAACCTGTAAAGTTTTAGTAGAATTGACAATTAATATATGCTGTATTATTATGCTGCAATAAGCCAACCTCCCCACTCTGAGATTTGGTGTCTATTACAAGGTAATGATAATAATGAACTTGCTTAATGTTCAAATTTAAGAAATAGTTTGTGTAATTTGTGGTTTTCAAAGCAGGACCTATGAAAAGATTTTCACCCGACAGTTCAAACCATTGCTATCTGAGAATCACCATACCATAAGTAAACGATAATATTTATGTCACTTGCATGGAGGAATTGATTTTGAAATTTAATTTTTTGTCAGTAAACAAAATTAAAAAATATTTGCTGTAGGATTTGAATATAAATATGTAAGCACTACAAGCTTAAAAGATGCTCTCTTTTAAGATAATTTTCCAATATATCAATTACCACGACTATAGCATAGTTTTTATTTTATTCAAAATGCATGTATAGTTATACAGGCCATGGAATAACTATGCATCAAAGGGGAATAATTCTGGCAGACATAAGTTGACTTGTGATGAAATAATGTAACAGATTTTGTTGACTGCAGAGTATTTACTAAGTGCTACCTGACAGAGAAGCCTTCTATAAAACCAGTTTTTAAAGTGAAGAGAGGCGATGACATAAGATTTCAAACCTAACTTTTGGTTTTTTTTTTAACCTGATCAGGTACTATGCTGGATCCAGGCTCATCTTCCGGATGGTGACAGGAAGGCAAAACTCACAGAACTGTTAGACAGCAAGAAATACAGCGTTGACTATATGAAATATGACTGGGGGGTCAACTCATAGAGTTTATTTATATCAAAGAATATTAGTCATGAATGAAAAATCATACAATTATAATTTGTTTACGATTGGTAAAAGTGAGAACTATTCCCATCTCGTATCCCATTCATATTTTGAAAAATGCATGTAATCATTGGAAAAATCTTTTGATAAATTTCCACTCTACAAAACAGGAAAAAGCTATGATGTATACATGTAGTTACATACTTTCATTTTAAGTATCAAGGATATTGGTCTGTAAAATAAAATGTGATGCCATTTCTGTGTAATTTTGATATATCTGTTATTGAAAACTTAAATGGAATCTTATAACTTTGGAATAGGATTTTCAGAGTATGATGATGTTGAGTAATGAATAATACAGGACTACTCTTATTTGGTTCTCTATAGATTGATATCCAGAACATGTTTGAAATTCTAAAAGATGTTTTGTAATGTAAACTTGATTAATTTCACAACAATTGTTAACAAGTTATTTCAGCTTACAAAAATCACTCTTGTTCACCCAGATGTAAATGTGAAAGGTGTGTTACTGTAGAAGGAAACGAGAATATCCAGGAAAAACTCATGTGGTTGTACAGGTGATCCCTTATTTTTTCACATTTGATTTGAGAATCAAACCCAATACTGCTTGTTGAAAAGCAGGTGCATTACCACTGCGCCGCCCTACTATAATTCTGAAATATTCTTAGGTATGAAAATTACGTTTGTATTCATGAAATTATTCTCATTATGCTCTGATAGAAATCCTTTGTCAAAACGTTTTACTTCATTAGAAATTCCATAACACCATTTGATACTGTCAAAATTCCTGTCTAGACAAAGTCGTTGAAGTTCATCATCTTTCAAATAGGAAGTTGGCACATTATCTTAGTTTTTGTTTATGAATATAACTCTGATTTAGGTAACACGGTGACGATTTAGGTAACACGGTGACATATGTCATTTAAAAGTATGATATTTCAGCAGAGAGAGAGTCTAGTTTAACAAGATTCAAATCTGTATATGACTTTTCATCTTTTGAATCAATGCTATTTATGTACATGAAACATTTACAATGTATATTTTGTCTACAAGAGAATTGATTTTATTTGATTTAAACATGTTTTATTGCAACACAAATAGCAAACAAAAGAAATATTTGATATTGTTTGTTGGAGCCTACATGTTTTGTGATAAGATCTGACTTATTGTTTTAAAATATTGTATTTTGTTTACTATTTCATATTGTAAATGCTCTTTATTTTTATATATACACATGAAATATGACATTAATTCCTCGAAGCTGTCCCAAGGTTTGTTGCCATGAGTGTTACCATGTTATGATTGTACTCGTCTTAATTGTGATACTTTATGTAACCAACTTTATTTTCAGAATGTGTTAACATCACAAGTCTTAGCTTGTGTCCATGATATTGTATAGCAGATCAATATTTTGCTTCAAAATGCTCTTCTCCCTTAATGTTTGAATAGATTTAAACCAAATTTGGTCTGAAATATCATTGTGGGTACGAATCATTTTTTGAATTTAGAAAATTGATTTGACCCCTTAGGGACATTGGGATGGCCAGGACAAAGAATGAAGAAATTAGTCAATATTTTGTTTCAAAACACTACTCTTCTTTAATGCTTAAATGGATTTAGGGAAGTTTTGTAATGTGATCTGTCAAAATGTGGTCATATATTGATGATGTGTGCACACAAAAAAAATTATTTTGCAATTTCATGCTGTCATATTGCAATTTTTTTGTCAAAACCAGATGAAGGTAGAAGTGTTCATTTGAAAACCAATAAAATGAGGAAATAAGCAAAATATCTTTTTGTTGAAAATTGATGTTGATGCACGCTATAGATTATTATGTCTCCAAAATGGTTGCCATAGAAATTAGTAAAGGACATTAATGCTAGTTGTTTACACGATTATTAGAAATATAAACTTTTCTTTTTATTACAACAATTGCAAAAAAAAAGGTTAAAGCTTATATTTATCACTCTTGATGGCCAAATGGAAGCACAGTCTTTCTGTAGGAGGATATGTACCTGGGCAAAACCCATGTGGTGAGGCAGTGAAAGGCAAGTGTGTTATCACTGCACCACCATTTACATCATTATAACTGGTATTTATTACATATATTTACACAGTGGTACTACTGATACTGTGATTAGGAAATTACGACATAGTGCTAGAAGTTTGTCAAAAATTCTTGTCAAAAGATGAGACAAAGGACTTCAATTTTTCTTATGAAGTTGTTTTCAGCAGATGCAGATCTGATTCACAGTAAATGTTGTTAAAATGTGCCATTTTCAAGGTTTAACTTACATACATGCTTTTGTAGTATATCCATGTAAGTAGTTAAGATTTTATGATTTCTTGTATAAAGGTATTATTTTCATAAACAAAATTATCATCATGGTTTTTCATGCACTTTTTAACTTTAATGTAACAAAATTAAAAAACATCTCTCATTAGGGAAAGTGTAAGACATTTCTTGAAAGAAACGGTGCCTTATGACTATATATATAGTTATATATAGAAATTTGTACTGGCATTATCTTGGGATTGTTTCAGAAAAAACAGTATACTGTGCCATAATATACAAATTATTTATCATCAAAATGTTGATACTGGATGGTTAAGTATATTTACCCTCCATGTTTATCCTTATCATTAATTTATTTCGTCTTACCCTCTATTCCAACAAATTTTCACTCTGACAAAAACTCTCTTTTACTTGATATTAAACATACTTTATGTACAGGTGTGAAATGGCAGTGTTACAAACCAAATGTTTGATAATTTAAGGAATAACCCAAGTTATGATATTAATTATCGAGTAGCAGTCCATCCATTAATTGATAACCCTTTAAGTATGCAGGCTCCTTCACCTGTTAACAACAGGTGCCTTACATTGATGTCATTTGCCTTGTTAACAGTGAATTGATACTGGAGGTCACTTTTGTGAAATGTTCTTTATATCTTTTCATTATATATTTCATTCCTTTCTGAAAAAAAACTTATAAACTGCAATTGTCTTTTCATTTTTATTTTAGCACAGTAGATGCATTATGGCATGTATATGATTATAAGGAAGATATTTTGATATTCATGAGATCATGACATGTTTACTAGGGAAGCAGAAAATACCTTTAATTACCTCACCTATTCTGAAAGTGAACTTATGCCATGGCTATGCATATATATATTGCTTATTGGCTTTCAGGGGCCATGAAACAGGGAAATTTAGCATGTTTTTTTTTTTTAGATTCCTTCTTCTGTACATATGATCGATTTTCTGCCCAAATGCAGCATGCCTGAGTGAAGAGAAATCAGTTTTGTAGAAATGTTGGGTATCGGCTTCCTGGAACAGAACAGAAGGAATTTAGAAAATATAAAGCAAATACTTTAAAATCCCACTCCTCCTGCACTCGAGGCCAGGATATTATTTTTTAAACATTGATTTTTGTTTTATCACTCATGACTGACGTTATTTAAAAGAAGTATCAGCAGAATTCAAGTTTATGTGCCGGTTGACAAATCCGAGGTCCTCGGTCATTAAAAATACACTGCACTGGGCCTTTTCGTTATTGAGAAGAAGTTGTTCAAACATTTAAACATATTCGATCTCTATGACCTTTAAAACGGGTCAAGGTCCTTCATATTAACAAACTCGGTAGCCTTTCATGCTACATGCCTAATACCAAATTCGACCCATGTGACCTTTAAGCGGGTCAAGGTCATGCATATTAACAAACTTGGTAGCCTCTTCATCACATGCACAGGCACTCGAGGCCAGGATATTATTTTTTAAACATTGATTTTTGTTTTATCACTCATGACTGACGTTATTTAAAAGAAATATCAGCAGAATTCAAGTTTATGTGCCGGTTGACAAATCCGGAAACTTGAATTCTGCTGATATTTCGTTTAAATAACGTCAGTCATGAGTGCTAAAACAAAAATCAACGTTTAAAAAATAATATCCTGGCCTCGAGTGCCTGTGGCCCAGTGTAGTGAAATTAGGCATGAAGCATGCTTGGATGAAGGGCTACCATGTATGTTCATATTATTGACCTTTACCTACTTTCAAGGTCAAAGTTGTCAAGTATGTCAAAATCTTTAAACAGCATCTCATTAACCAAAAGGTCCATGGTATTGATATTGGGCATTTAGCATGTCGGGATGAAGAGTTACAAAGATTGTTAAAATGAATCACCTTGATCCGCTTTCAAGGTCATAGGGGTCGAATATGTCAAAATCTTTAAATGACTTCTCTATTTCCAAAATGTCCATAGTGCTGATTTCTGTCCTTTAGCATGCTGGGATGATGTCCATCGCCACCTTTGCGTCAGAATTAGTAGGGGGTATAGCTTACATGTGTGTCTACGTCCGTGTTGTCATCGTCTTCATCTTCCTGGTCCGATGTGTGGTATGATATTTGATAATGTCGTCGTCATCTACCACTTCATTTGGTGCGAGTTTTTGTTCATGTCTACAAATTGTCTCACTGTGAGGCACAAGTCAGGGTCCAGGTCAGTTCATCTTGCAATCTTTTAAGCAAATACAATCAAATCAGTATCCGGGTTTTTATAATCAGCTGATATCCCCGACTGTACGTCGTCACGTAGTACGATAGCACACCTCCGATTACCTGCTCTGTCAGGTCCAGGAATGCTATGCCGATATGCGGGTTAAGCGGTTTAACAGGTGGCATTACAACGGGGTTTTTACTATTCATAATATAATATAATCAGGCAAACGAAAGAATATTAATGAGAGTATATTCGAATTAGGAGGGATGATAAGACTGATATGATTAGACGCATGCTATTAAGTAACCCATGCTTCCCACAGCGCTCACTGACAGGTCATTACGTCAGCCTGGCGTGCCCTCTAGCAAATATATTCTCATTGCTGACTTCCTGATATTGTGCAAATACTCTCGAGTGTCTGAAATTTCTCAGCGAATCAAACCACACGGGATGCAAATGAATGTTTTGCTAAAACACAAATTAGATACACATGTCACGGACGCTGGATGTTCCGATGACCCTTTATACATATTCTTAGGCCTGATGTCACAATCCTAAGTGACCTGGCCCCAGTTGCTCAAATGTAACTAGTGGAAACATAAAACAAAAATATCAGGAACACACTTCATAATTTCACAACTTTAGATTTGTTTGGACTGGTCAGATTGACAACGTTCGGGTGTTATTTTACCGTTAACGCTCTGGGTATTTTAAGTGGCAACAATTGGAATTTTTCACTAACCTCTGAACAACCCGGGTCAGGTCGGCGGATCTCCCTTTATATGCAAACTGACGCGTGTCTAACATTTTCAAATTTGTTTTTCAACACAGACACATCCGATTGTGAAACTTCCCCGGCGTTGACACAAATGTCGAAATATCTATAAAGCAATCAGAGTATGAAGATCACATCGGATTATGATCTGTATTAGGTTCATTGACAGCAGAAAACGACACAAGTCTCAGTTAAAGGAAAGACATGCAATCAGAGACCTAAAACCAAATTTAAGTTCTGTTGTTGTGAAGATAGCAATATTCATATATTTTTTTACATGAATGCGTATCCTTCCGGCAAGGTAAATTATATAGGATGATGTAATGACATGTTGTAAAATACACTTTATTCTTGGATTTATTATATTGAGTAAAAATTAATTAAATGTTAACAATTGAATGATTAATCAACATTCTTTGGTTTAAGCCACGATCTTCCTAGATATCACCAGAAGGCACCAGAAGCAAAATAAATTAAGATAATCTACATTAAGCAACCTGAAGTAATGGATTTGATGTGTTCATTAGAGTATAATCAGGATTTCTATGTCAATTTCATTATCATCAGAAATTGCAACAACAAAAAATACCGACAAACACCAATTTACACAAAAAATGTTTGCCATGGGCTTACTGAATCGCATCGCAATGAATGGATTAACATATCTTTGTTTTACTATTAATTCATCACTTTGCGAAAAAAAAATGCTTCAAAATTATGAAGAGATAAAATTCACAAAGCTTTTCTGGCGTACAGAAGGGCTGTCATTCCGGCGGACAGGAGGGCTGTCATTCCGGCGGACAGGAGGGCTGTCATTCCGGCGTACAGAAGGGCTGTCATTCCGGCGGACAGAAGGGCTGTCATTCCTCGTACAGGAGGGCTGTCATTCCGGCGGACAGGAGGGCTGTCATTCCGGCGGACAGGAGGGCTGTCATTCCGGCGGACAGGAGGGCTGTCATTCCGGCGTACAGAAGGGCTGTCATTCCGGCGGACAGGAGGGCTGTCATTCCGGCGGACAGAAGGGCTGTCATTCCTCGTACAGGAGGGCTGTCATTCCGGCGGACAGGAGGGCTGTCATTCCGGCGGACAGGAGGGCTGTTATTCCTCGTACAGGAGGGCTGTCATTCCGGCGGACAGGAGGGCTGTCATTCCGGCGGACAGAAGGGCTGTCATTCCTCGTACAGGAGGGCTGTCATTCCTCGTACAGGAGGGCTGTCATTCCGGCGGACAGGAGGGCTGTCATTCCGGCGGACAGGAGGGCTGTCATTCCGGCGGACAGGAGGGCTGTCATTCCGGCGTACAGGAGGGCTGTCATTCCGGCGGACAGGAGGGCTGTCATTCCTCGTACAGGAGGGCTGTCATTCCGGCGGACAGGAGGGCTGTCATTCCGGCGGACAGGAGGGCTGTCATTCCGGCGGACAGGAGGGCTGTCATTCCGGCGGACAGGAGGGCTGTCATTCCGGCGGACAGGAGGGCTGTCATTCCGGCGGACAGGAAGGCTGTCATTCCTCGTACAGAAGGGCTGTCATTCCGGCGGACAGGAGGGCTGTCATTCCGGCGGACAGGAGGGCTGTCATTCCGGCGGACAGGAGGGCTGTCATTCCGGCGGACAGGAAGGCTGTCATTCCTCGTACAGAAGGGCTGTCATTCCGGCGGACAGGAGGGCTGTCATTCCGGCGGACAGGAGGGCTGTCATTCCGGCGGACAGGAGGGCTGTCATTCCGGCGTACAGGAGGGCTGTCATTCCGGCGGACAGGAGGGCTGTCATTCCGGCGGACAGGAGGGCTGTCATTCCGGCGGACAGGAGGGCTGTCATTCCGGCGGACAGGAGGGCTGTCATTCCGGCGGACAGGAAGGCTGTCATTCCTCGAACAGAAGGGCTGTCATTCCGGCGGACAGGAGGGCTGTCATTCCGGCGGACAGGAGGGCTGTCATTCCGGCGGACAGGGGGGCTGTCATTCCGGCGTACAGAAGGGCTGTCATTCCGGCGGACAGGGGGGCTGTCATTCCTCGTACAGGAGGGCTATCATTCCTCGTACAGGAGGGCTGTCATGCCGGCGGACAGGAGGGCTGTCATTCCTCGTACAGGAGGGCTGTCATGCCTCGTACAGGAGGGCTGTCATTACTCGTACAGGAGGGCTGTCATTCCTCGTACAGGAGGGCCTTTTACAGGACTGTCATGCCTAGTCGTACAGGAGGTCTGTCATTCCTCGTACAGGAGGGCTGTCATGCCTCTTACAGGAGGACTGTCATTCCTCGTACAGGAGGGCTGTGATTCCGGTGGACAGGAGGGCTGTCATGCCTCGTACAGGATGGCTGTCATTCCGGCGGACAGTGGGGCTGTCATTCCTCGTACAGGAGGGCTGTCATTCCGGCGGACAGGAGGGCTGTCATTCCGGCGGACAGGGGGGCTGTCATTCCTCGTACAGGAGGGCTGTCATTCCGGCGGACAGGAGGGCTGTCATTCCGGCGGACAGGGGGGCTGTCATGCCGGCGGACAGGAGGGCTGTCATGCCTATATACATAGGGCTGTCATGCCTCGTACAGAAGGGCTGTCATTTCTCGTACAGGAGGGCTATCATTCCTCGTACAGGAGGGCTGTCATGCCGGCGGACAGGAGGGCTGTCATGCCTCGTACAGGAGGGCTGTCATGCCTCGTACAGAAGGGCTGTCATTTCTCGTACAGGAGGGCTGTCATTCCTCGTACAGGAGGGCTATCATGCCTTTTACAGGACTGTCATGCCTAGTACGGGAGGGCTGTCATTCCGGCGGACAGGAGGGCTGTCATTCCTCATTCCTCGTACAGGAGGGCTGTCATGCCTCTTACAGGAGGGCTGTCATTCCTGGTACAGGAGGGCTGTCATTCCGGTGGACAGGAGGGCTGTCATGCCTCGTACAGGATGGCTGTCATTCCGGCGGACAGGAGTGCTGTCATTCCGGCGGACCGAAGGGCTGTCATGCCTCGTACAGGAGGGCTGTCATGCCTTGTACAGGAGGGCTGTCATTCCTCGTACAGGAGGGCTGTCATGCCTCTTACAGGAGGACTGTCATTCCTCGTACAGGAGGGCTGTCATTCCGGTGGACAGGAGGGCTGTCATGCCTCGTACAGGATGGCTGTCATTCCGGCGGACAGGGGGGCTGTCATTCCTCGTACAGGAGGGCTCTCATTCCGGCGGACAGGAGGGCTGTCATTCCGGCGGACAGGGGGGCTGTCATTCCTCGTACAGGAGGGCTGTCATTCCGGCGGACAGGAGGGCTGTCATTCCGGCGGACAGGGGGGCTGTCATTCCTCGTACAGGAGGGCTATCATTCCTCGTACAGGAGGGCTGTCATGCCGGCGGACAGGAGGGCTGTCATGCCTCGTACAGGAGGGCTGTCATGCCTCGTACAGAAGGGCTGTCATTTCTCGTACAGGAGGGCTGTCATTCCTCGTACAGGAGGGCTATCATGCCTTTTACAGGACTGTCATGCCTAGTACGGGAGGGCTGTCATTCCGGCGGACAGGAGGGCTGTCATTCCTCGTACAGGAGGGCTGTCATGCCTCTTACAGGAGGACTGTCATTCCTCGTACAGGAGGGCTGTCATTCCGGTGGACAGGAGGGCTGTCATGCCTCGTACAGGATGGCTGTCATTCCGGCGGACAGGAGTGCTGTCATTCCGGCGGACCGGAGGGCTGTCATGCCTCGTACAGGAGGGCTATCATGCCTTGTACAGGAGGGCTGTCATGCCTCGTACAGGAGGGCTATCATGCCTCGTACAGGAAGGCTGTCATTCCGGCGGACAGGAGGGCTGTCATGCCTCGTACAGGAGGGCTGTCATACCTCGTACAAGAGGGCTGTCATTCCGGTGGACAGGAGGGCTGTCATGCCTCGTACAGGATGGCTGTCATTCCGGCGGACCGGAGGGCTGTCATGCCTCGTACAGGAAGGCTATCATGCCTTGTACAGGAGGGCTATCATGCCTCGTACAGGATGGCTGTCATTCCGGCGGACAGGAGGGCTGTCATTCCTCGTACAGGAGGGCTGTCATGCCTCGTACAGGAGGGCTGTCATTCCGGTAGACGTCTTAAACTTTAGTATAGGGTCTGTGAAGCTAATTGCAGAACGCACAGTGATAACTGGTCAGACGGAGGAGGATCACAGTCAGGATGAACACCACAGTACTGAGGACCTCTTACTTCCTGATGTTACACAGTCCAGCATAGGGGAGGAGCCAGTGAACACCGATCTTCCTCAGGTGGATGCAGGCAGGCAGCCACAGACTAGAAGGGACAGAGTAAAATGGCCACCAGCAGACGACAAACAGTGGGAAGCCTTCGATGATGATTTGGACAAGATTCTGGAAGGCACACTAGTTGGAGACGTGGATAAGAAAATAGCAGCCTTATCAACAATTGTATATACAGTTGGTAAAGAACGGTTCGGAACAGCCAAAGCAGACAAGAAGAGCAATGAGCAAGCTACCAGCAGTAGACGACAGCGAGAGATTGAGTCTCTCAGGAAAGAGATGTAACAAAGTGCAAATAATGATGTTTTATAATTTGTCTTGATTTTAAATTAAATTTAATGTTGCGCCGCGCTTATTGTGCTGTTTGCGTGTGTATGTGCGCTGCGTATGGTCGCTAGGCTGTGTACCTGTATACGTGTATGTTCGTACCTGTCACTTGTCTAACCTGTTTACTTATTCTATGGTTCTATATATAGGTGTTACCTCGTTTTGGTATAGTGGTCAGTGTCTTTGTTAGCTTTTGGCGCGGTTTTAGAGAGACATTTGTACAGGAACTGCGCGGACGTGTTACACAGTCCGGTTCTTCCTAATTTTTACTATTCTGTGAAGTCTTCCTGAAGATCATATATATGGTATGTACAATATTTAGTTGTCATGTAATCTAATAATATATTTGGTTATTTGAATTATTATTTATTATTGTGAATTTTGGAAAAAGTATGTCTTAATTGGAATTAGCGATAAGGATTGAAATTATTGGTAAATATTATAAAGTTATTAGAATCATATTAGTATTGACCAAAACGTTCATATTGTCTGCAAATGTTGTTCATACATGATCTGTATGTGTTGGTATGTATCTTTTACAGATAATCCATGTACGTAAATTAAGAAGTCTTTGTACAGAAGTTCTTCTGTGAAACCCCCGACCCATAGTTGGGGTAGGTACATGTGTATTTTACTGATTGTAGTCAATTATGAATATGATATATATATATTATA